TTTTTGACAGAATGTGGCGATTAACAATTTATACTTTGCTTGGTCTTTAATATGCATGCAAACGAATACTAATATAAAGTTAAATTATAATTTGCAATCATATCGGAAATGCAGATACCTAAACAATTCAAGTATGTACACTGTGTTTTAAATCAAAATCAGTAGTTTGCAAAATAACTTCAACTTACCCTTGGATCCAACGTTTCATCTTCTTCACTTATTTTTTTTTTCACTTCCTGCTGTGGTTGTGTTTCTTTATCAGCCTGCAACTTGGCCTTTTCCTCCTTCTCTTTGGCTTTTTTTGCAGCCTTCTCTCGTCGCTTACGCTCACTAAAATCAAATGATTCAAATAAATTATTTTAGAATAAATTATTTTAGAAGTTCAGTAAAACATGAAATGAATTTAAAAAGAATATTAACTTTTTCACCATTAGACTTTCTCGCCCAAATTTTTTCTTTTTTTTTTTTTTTATATCAACTACAATATTTCTGGAAACGAACCCTAATTTTGGAGCCAACAGAGACAATTTGAGTCAATATTCAGTTTTTACTCAAAAAATTTGTCTATTTTTGTCCCAATCTTCTGAAGGAAAGTGCAGACTATAAATGGGACTATTTTGTGAATTTGTGATGAAAAGAGGGAACTGGTGGTGAAAAGGTTAATACAATACTCAAATAGTGATAAATCTATATTTTGCTCTATTAGATAAAACAAAAATGGCATTTGTCGTATAATAAATAAAAATTCAACAAGAACCATTAATTTTTTCACATTAATTGATATTTTATTATAACTTTTCATAATTTAATCACTCAGAAACCTAGCTGAACACAGCACAATAAATGTGGTTTCTATACTCATGACCTTTGACACCATTATTTAAATCTATCTATTGTTATTTTAAATCCCAATCATGCGTGACTTCAAATCAATATCTTGTTTTATGTACTGATGGGAAAAAACTATTAACTGTTTACCAGTATTGCATTAAATATGGTGTCCACTTGCATTCAGATATGTAGTGTATTGATTTAAAGAAGAAAAACCTATCGAACATGTCAGTCGCTTGTTGTAAATTCACATACTGATCTGATGAGGAGTGCTGCATAATGCATTGTGGGTAATGTCTGTTTGTTTGTTGTTTCAGAGGATGTTTCATGGAACTCAATCAATCTTTAATGCAATTGCATGAATGCGAAAGCATTATTTAATAAATGTTAAACGTTGAACAGCTATGTTTATCAAGTGGTAGTGAATAATCACCGCATGATTGTTATTTTCCCCCGGACAACCTTTTTTTTATAGTCCGATGATAATTATTTCTTAATTTCTATTTGGACACTGTGTTGTGCATTGCTATACGTTATCAGATGATTAAATTCAGTAACGAAAAAACATACGCAATGACATCATAAAAACCTCCAATTCTAGTAGT